AAGATCTAGTTTATCTTATAGCTAGGACCTACCCTAAATATTGAACATATTCCCATCTGGAAAGAGGGTATCATTTCACTTGTACAAAGTACAACCAAACCTTAAATTTACATAAATTAATTCCATCAAAATAGGGTATGTGTGAATGACATATAAATAAAATTCTCAGTTGACTATTACTGGAAAATTGCCAGAAGAGCAAGATAAGATTAGAGTCAGAATAGTCCAGAAAGCAAAATAAAAAGATTAGAAACCCATAAATACAATTAATATTTCTCAAGTTTTGATTTTAAAAGAAAATATTTGTCATATAAATTCAAAAATCATAAGCACATAATAGTAGAAGTAAAATTTCTTTTCTGTTCAGAATAYGAACCCAAGGTATCTCCAGATGGTGATTGTTAAGTGGTGATTTTTTTAAAAAAATACAGTATCTTTTTTTTTTGAGAGAGAGAGAGAATTTTAGTATTTATTTTTTAGTTTTTGGCGGACACAACATCTTTGTATGTGGTGCTGAGGATCGAACCCCGGCCGCATGCATACCAGGCGTGCGCACTACCGCTTGAGCCACATCCCTAGCCCAAAATACAGTATCTTAATGTACAGTATTTTAGTGTATTAATTAGCACTGATCGTTTTTTTTTAAAGAGAGTCAGAGAGGAGAGAGAGAGAGAGAGAATTTTTAATATTTATTTTTTTTAGTTCTCAGCGGACACAACATCTTTGTTTGTTTGTGGTGCTGAGGATCGAACCCGGGCCGCACGCATGCCAGGCGACGCGCTACCGCTTGAGCCACATCCCCAGCCCCTAGCACTGATCATTTTAAATACTTGACTGTTAGTTCAGTGAGTTTTAACCAAATAAGCATTGAGTTGTTTTGCAGCTTTTTCCATTATAAACTGAATTAGGGTACTGCCTGCCACATCTGTGTTTAGAGTATTCCAATTTTTCATTTTTTCAGGTGCTTTTTACTGATCATAGAATTTGTAATTTAAAATGCATTTGGCTACAAGTTTCTTCTACTAAATGTGTTTGTACTTTGACCTTAGTTTTGCGGAGAAGGTACTCTTCTTATCTAATCTCCATTTGTTACACTGGATCCCTCTTCCTCTCTACTTCCCATCCCATTTCCTGTATCCTCACATCACCATTTAGTTCTTTTCTTTGTATAAACATGGCAGGTGTCTTCTCCAGCCTAAAAATAAGGAACCCAAAAAACAAAATAGCAAAAACCTTTCCTACCACCCCGATATTCCTTCCCTCTTGATTTCAAAAGTGTTTGCCTTTCCATTTCCTCACTTCAGTCTTTCCTTGTGTATCAATTTGTCTTTAGCTCCTACTATTTTCTGTGATATTCTGGGAAATGTGACCAGAGACTAACCTCCTTGTCAAATCTAATGTCTTTTTATCAGTCATTACTCTGCATATCCTTTTTACAACTTACCTATTGACCATTCCTGCTATGGATACTCCTCTGGCATTTCTGTGGTGGACAGAATTTCTCTCTGAGGTCTGTTTTTTCCTTAGAGCCCCATCCCTAGTCTTTAGATGGTGCTGGTTTTTCCTCTGTGTAGTCGTCTTAGTGCCCACAGCTTCAGCTTTCGATAACTGCCTGAATGCCCTTATAAACTGGTGTCTCCTCTTGCATTCTCTGCTTTTCTTAATGGCATTACCATTTACCCAATCACAAAAGCAACATTATTTCTTTTCTCTCTTACACTCATATTTAATTGAGTTCCTTTGAATATGCTATTGATGCAATTGTTTTCAATTGTTAAAATGCTTTTGATTGTACAGAATGTTTACCTTTGTAATAACTTTGTATACACTGATTTTTTTCCTTCATAATAAAATGGAAAAAATTCTAAACCCTTGTTAAAATTTTGTCATTTGACTTTAAAAATATCATATTTWCTTAGTATTTATAGCATTTTCCGTACAGGGAAAGGTAATCTGGTTGCTTGGAAACTTTTGGCATTTTTATGAAATGCTCTAGCTACATATTCTTGCATTTGTAACTATTCTTTGAAATTAGAATTTGGTAGAATACTAAGAGAGCTGTCTTCCTGGCTTGCAGATGGCTGCCTTCTCTGTTCTCACAAGTGGGGGCCAGGAAGGAGGAAAATAAGAGGAGGAGGTAGGGGAGGAACTGGGTCTCGATCAAAGTCTCTGGGACAGCTTTTTAAAAACTTTTTTAAAAACATTGACTTGAAATTTTTATCCTTTTACCAAAATTTCTCCAAACCCCACTGCTCCTAAGCCCAAGTAACCACTTCTATCCTCTGAGTTTTACCTTTTTCAGATCCCACATGTGAGTGAGATCATGTGTTATTTCCTTTTCTGTGCCTGACACATTCCATCTAATCTAAGTGTCTTCCAGGTTCATCCATGTTGTTATGAATGATAGGATTTCTACCTTTTCTGTGGCTGAATGCTCTTCCATTGTGTAGATGTATCACATTTTCTTTATTCATTGAGGTATACTGGATTCCTTTTACTGGCTGTTGTAAATGCTGCAATGAACACGGTAGTGTATATCTGTTTGAGTGCCTGCTTAGCATGTGAGAGGCTCTGAGTCCAATCACCAGCATTTAAAAAAAAAAAAAAAGAAAGAAAAAGAAAAAAGGTAGCCACAAGTTCCACAGTGAGAGAAATAAATGAAAGGGAATGCCAACCAATAAATGTATAGTACAAGTAATGATGGAATTTGAAAATCAGTATTTGGCAATCAGTGTGGTAATTATTGATTCAATTGAAAATCTTCAATGGATGCTAAAACTGAYGAGTGAAAATTTGATGATCTCTTTATAAGATACTTAATTACAAAGGGAAAAAAGTAACTATAAAAGTGAAAGTTTGGTGAACAATACCATAATCAATTGATCAAAGCCCAGCCATCAGTAACTGGATATATAAAAACTGTTTGACACCTTAGATAATATAAGAACAACATATCTCTTCTGTGATTTCTTATCAAAAAACATAATGTGAATCTTAAGAGGTAAATTCAAAATAAAACAGTCCACAAAATAACTGGCCTGAAGTCTTCAAAACTGTTGAAATAATGAATGTCAAGGAAAGAGACAGTATGATCACTTGAAAAATACCAGTGTGATAGTAATGCAGTCAACATTTATAGCAGCTCAATTCACAATAGCTACACTGTGGAACCAACCTAGATGCCCTTCAATAGATGAATGGATAAAGAAACTGTGATATATATACATAAAAGAATATTACTCAGCATTAAAAGAGAATAAAATCATGGCATTTGCAGGTAAATGGATGGAGTTKGAGAATATCATGCTAAGTAAGTATAAGCCAATCCCCAAAAACCAAAGGCCAAATGTTCTGATAAGTGGATGGTGATCCATAACAGGAGGGGTCCAGGGAGGGCATGGGAGCAGAAAAGATGGTGGAATGAGATGGACATCACTACCCTAGGTAAACTTATTACTGCACATCACTACCCTAGGTATATTTATTACTGCACATATGGTGTGATGCTACATCATTTACAACCAGAGAAATGAAAAGTTGTGCTACAACTGTGTACAATGAATCAAAATGTAATCTGCTGTCATATATACCTAATTAAAATAAATTAATTTAAAAAAATTTTAAATACTGGTGTGACAAATAGTGGCACTTGAATGGGGTCTTTGGATTAGACAATAGCAATCAGCAGTGTTAACTTCCTGATTTGGGTATTTGTATTGTGGTTAAGTATGTCTTTCTAGGAATTATATATCAATATATTTGAGTTTGAGAGGTGTAACTGGTTTAATGATTCAGGAAAGAAGGCCCTTTGTTCTGTTCTTGCTACTTTCCTGTAAGTTTCATAATAAAATGGGTAGCACCATTTTTAAAAATTCAGACATTTAATCTCACGTGTGTACTTAAAAATCAAAGAATAAAGCAACAAAAGAAAAGATCTGCTAAAGTAAAATTTTTTCTTTTATGAGGTGGAAATTTAGTTTCTGAATTTACTTCACTTAACTTGCAAATGTAACCAGTTATCTTACTTGAAAATTTTTCATTTTACGAATTCTATTTTTTCTTGACTCTTCCAGGTATTAAGAGTTGATGGTTTTCCTAAAATAAATCACAAACTATATATGGGAAAGAGATATCAAGAAGAACAAAGCCCCCTTTAAATGTTATTTAAAAGATTTCTAATTTAAATAAAATTTAAAGAATGAAATCATAACTAATTTTAAAATATTTTATATAGGCCAAGATGGAAACTATAATATTCTCATTACTTCATGTACCCAGTTCTGCCTTAACAGACCTACATTAATTTTTAACAACTTGCCTCAAAATTATATGAACACATGGAGTAAGTATTTACAGCTAATGTTTATTCTGCTTGAAATTTTGCAAATTTAAGAAACGGAAACCTTCTAATTTAAATTCGTTAAGAAGGCTCTTGATTCTTCCAAATTGCCAATCCACTGGATTCAAAACTGAACCAAAAGTAACTAGCAAAAGACTTTTCCCTAAATTTAAATCTTTTTGAAGTCAAATTTCCCCAGAAACTGAGAAACATCCACACAAATTTTTTTTTTTTTTTTTTTTAATCAAAGTTTATTTCTGTGATCCTTTTCTCATTTTTTTGGCATTGAGAATAGTGAAACAATTTTTTACTATTATTCACATATGAGTAAATACATGGTTTCAAAGTGGTAGTCTTACTTTTTCATGTCAAAACCATTTTCCTGATATCTAAAGTGAATCTTGGTATCAATGAACTGTTTAGTATAGAGATAAGAAACAGTCATACTGTCCAAGTCAAGCTCAAATTGTTGAATCAGGTGATGGAAATTACACTTAAATCTGAAATTTTAATGAGCTTCCTTTCTGAAACTATTAATGAGCCATCCATTTTCTTTAGGTGTTTTAATATTTTTCCTCTGTATCATGTCTGATGATTAACTTATTAACAAATGATGATTATATGGGACTATATGATATATACTTGGGCCATTTTTTGGTAAGTTTCTTGATTTGGTACCTAAATTCCAAAAGTCAGTTCTTAAGGTTACATGAATTTAATTGGTACTCTCAGATGTCTCCTTCATAAAATAGGTGATAGATTAACAGGGTTTAATTATGAAAGACCCTAGGGACTAAGATACTTCAGTTCTAGTGTTGGATATCAAAGTAAAAATTTTAGATAAGTCATTTATTTAACTTTTATTCTTTGGTTTCCATAATTAAAAAATTAGAGGCAATATCCTATCTACCTTATTAAAATGTTTGAAATTGGATAATATATTGAAGAACTGTGAAATAGTATCAGTTTACCTTTAGTAATCTCAATTTTTCAAATTGTTAACCCTGGGATTGTAGTTATTAAAGGCACTTGTTTCTCTTTATTTAAAAGGTCTGTGAAAGTCTCTTACCATGGTGTGCCTCAGTTCCTAAAGTTTCACTTTCCTTCCACAGGGGACATGTACTAATAATTTTAGATTGTCAAAATAGTAATTTGAGGTCATTATGATTTGTCACAAATTACACCCAAAAGTACTTCCATTGATAATAGCTTGCTTGAGGCCTCCCAGGAAAAATATTAATGATGTCATATTTGCATTGATATCTTAGAATATTATAGGATACTATGCTGCATAAATCCAGTAGAACTTTTGTTCAGATAATTTAAAAATTTAGAACATGATTTTAAAGGTGACATGTCTCCTGCAGAAGAAATCTTGCTGAAAGAAATTACAGCTTCTTAAATTAACAGTTTTTCCTGTTTGTGCACCTCTCTGAATGAAAGAATTAGGAAGAAGAATGGTTTCACTGTTCATAGTTTCACTGGGGAGAGTGAGAGAGAGAATGAGAAAAGTCATAAGACATTCTTAGAACAACTGAACACAAAATATACACACAGATCCTGAGATGTTATAACAAATTTAAAAATAGATCAACATGATCCAAATGGTTTCCAAGACACCGTTATGGTGGGTAAACAGCCATTTTTACAGGGTATGTTGCATAGATGTCCACATCATGCCAAGAAAACCCTACTCTTTATCTCCAAATCTGAAAGCTAGTCATCCAGAGCAGGTGGCCAGTCAACRTCTACAGACTAAAAGACAGAAAACAAGTTATTACTACAGATACTACTTTTCTGATAAGCATTTGCCAGTAATAGTTTTAATATAATATAGAAGAAATAACATTTAAAAGAAAGAGCAATTGAATACCAAAGTCTACTCTGGGGATTCTTGGGTCCAACGTCTGTTTCTGAATTAACTGAATAGCAGTATTTGGTTACTTGGCTGGTTTATAATTGTACCTTTTGATGCATAAGACAAAAAATTTAAATTTAAAAATGTTTATGAGTGGGCTGGGGTTGTGGCTCAGCGATAGAGCACTCGCCTAGCACATGCAAGGCCCTGGGTTTGATCCTCAGCACCACATAAAAGTAAATAAATAAACATATTGTGCYCAACTACAACTAAAAAATAAATATTTTTTAAAAAGTTTATGAGTAAAGTAGCAAACAAATTCAAATCCAGGTGGTTACACTAGTTTTCCCTCRAAAAGTCTCAGCAACTTTTATTCTTCTGATCATATTCATTCTGCCACCTTACATTTAATAGAATCATGTGTAGCTGAACTTTGGGGCCACATTCTAAATAAGAAATGCATCATTAGGTGATTTTGTCATCATGCAAATATCAGAGAGTATATTTACTCAGACTAATACAGCTATGATGTCACTAAGTGATACAATCTATGGGACTACCATCATATTTGCTGGCAATCACTACTTAGGTCATTGTACTGCACTCAAGTACTTGTCTATAAACCTATAGCCTTGTTTGTAATTTAGCAACTAGATGTGAAATAAATAAATAGGAAAGATCACCTGGAACTAGGAAAAAATTAAGGATCTTTTTACTTCACCAGAACTTATTTCTTTCAAAATCCAATTCATCTCTATCAGCTTGCCTTCACTTTGCTCTTCTAGAACACCAACTCTGGCGTTATGGTAAGCAAAATATTTTGTCTCCACATAAACAATCACATTCCAGAAGTACAAAATACATCTTAATTACCCTAGAGGACCTATTTTTAAAAAAGGCTTTTTAAAAATCCATTATAACCATGTTTCTTTATTGACAAAGCTTAAAGTCTGAAGTGATTTACTGAAAATTTTTTCATTAATTTTTGAGTCACTTCATATTCCAGATTCTAAAAAATTATTAGAAAAGCCCAAATAACTATTGTGTTTTTCCAAATCTCAAAAAGACATTTTGATAGTGCTTCAGAATATAGCCATAGTTTTTCAAACTGAAAATTAAAGATCACTGATCACAATTGTGTGTGTTGAGGGCAGAGAAGGGTAGGAATGCTGTAGTGTTGAAAAAGCTTCATGGGTGATTCCAATAGGCACTCAGGGCTAAGAAACCTGGAGCTATGGCTCTTGACACTCTTCAGCTGTTCTAAGAACAGTTGGAATTTTCTTTAACAAATGTTGTCTTTCTTAAAATGACAGCCCCTTTAAAGAGGCTCCCTGCAATCCTGAAGGGTGTCTCTGGCTGGTGTGTAGGAGATCTATAGAATTTAATCTGAGAGCACTTGAGAGGATTGCTGTAAGGTAATAATGATCATTTGATTACCATGCCAGGCAATATACCCACTTTAAAAAAAATAACTTTGATTTTATTCTCAAATGCAAAATTCTAACCACTTCCTAGGATTTGGGGGGTGGGGTAGATGGGGTATGGTGGGAAATAAAGAGGGACACTAATCCTAATTAAATTTTCATCAAGGAGCACAACTTGTGGCTCAAGTTCTATTGATGCTCAAATGAAAAAGAAAACGTTTGTGAAGAATTTCCTGAAAAATCCATTCTTGTAATTATTTTAGAATTTAACCTTGTTTCAATTACTATAAGAGTAGAGAATCACCTCATAGGTGTCCCTTATAGAACCACTTTTGAACCACATCACAAGAATCCCTTAGAGAATTGTTTTTTTTTTAAGGGGGGGGAGAGAGGGAGAGAGAACTTTTTTTAATATTAGTTATTGGCGGACACAACATCTTTGTTTGTATGTGGTGCTGAGGATCGAACCCGGGCCGCTCGCATGCCAGGCGAGTGCGCTACCACTTGAGCCACATCCCCAGCCCAGAGAATTGTTTTTGTTAGTAACCATTGGCTCATCCCATTTTCTATCCCTGTCCTAAATATAGTTTCCAAACACTCTGCCTTAAAGTCTTTATAAATAAAACTGGTATAGGAAATAAATCCTGAGTCCCTAAGGACATTTGAAGGTCACTTATAATTTTATTCTCTCGTTTAAGAGTTTAATCTCATGCCAAATGTAAAGCACAGTTAGTAAATTAACTATATATCACAAGGATCATATATAAGGCCTCATATTTATAAAAATTCAGAAGATAGTCCCTTCTCTACTGTGAGGTTTTGCCACTTTCAAATAATTATGAATGTAAGAAGTGCTATTTGGTTTAATGCCAAAAGGCATAACTTTGGCTCAATTCGATTTGCAAATGTGCAAATGTTCCACAATAAAACGGTTTACCTCCACATCCAGCTCAAGAATGTCAGCAGTCACATTCATCAGAGAGCCAATGTTTGGCCTGGTTCTCCCAAAGTCTCCATGTACAAACTCTTTAATGTAGCTGGAGTCTGTTTAAGGAAAAAATGAGGATAGCCATGCAATATCAACTGGTAAGATTTCAYAGGCGAAAAGGAAATAATAAAAGTAGAAATGTTGGGGCTGGGGATGTGGCTCAAGCGGTAGCGCGCTCGCCTGGCATGCGTGCGGCCTGGGTTTGATCCTCAGCACCACATACAAACAAAGATGTTGTGTCCGCCGAAAACTAAAAAATAAATATTAAAGAATTCTCTCTCTCCTCTCTCACTCTCTCTTTAAAAAAAAAAAAAAAAAAAAAAGTAGAAATGTTACAAAGGAGAGGTCAGTCCTGGCTCTAACGTTAGATGTGTCTCTTAGGACAGTTGATTCCTACTGGCCTAGCAGCCAACATAAGTACCTGAGACCTGTGTTTACAACAAACTTAGCAGAAGTCATGACTTTCTTTTTTCTTTATAGCTCATCTCAAATTGCCAAGGTTTGAGAATGGATTTTTAAAATTAATTATAATTCAATGCTTTTTAAAAAATATTTTTCGGGGCTGGGGATGTAGCTCAAGCAGTAGTGTGCTCGCCTGGCATGCGCAGGTCSCTGGATTTGATCCTCAGCACTACATAAAAATAAAATAAAGATGTTGTGTCCACTGAAAACTAAAAAATAAATATTAAAAAAATTATCTCTCTTTCTCCCTCTCTCTCTTTAAAAAAATTTTTTTTTCTTTGCCAATATTTTGACTCCCACCTTCCTGGTCCCATTTTTCMATAATGGCAACTGGCATCTGCCCAGACAGTAGGTTCCACAGAATCACACATACAATGACCTCAATGATGGATTTTCTTGTAACATGATCCAGTTATGGCAATATGATAGAAGAGACAGTGAAAATACCTAATCTTGATAAAGATCCTTCATGAGAATTATGGAAGGCCTAGTTGTCTGCTAATATGGTTATTAGCAAAAGATTAAGTTTTGTTTTGTTTTTGTTTTAGAAATGACTTTGTATTTTTCCTTCATAAGTCTTTAAATTTGAAAGGCAATGACAAAATTCTGGAATTTGATCTTGGTAAGATTACATTAACATTCCTCACACAGGACTCTACAGTAGCCTTGAAAATATTTATCTTTGAAAGATACAAGTTTATATCAGTGGGTTCAGTAAAAACCCAGCATCATGCTGAGTTATAGAAAGCAGTATTTAGGGCAAACCATTTAATAGAATTTGAATAGGAAAAACACATTTATTCTTAGAAGATAAATAAATCAATACTATAACATGCTGATATTATGTCCTCATTTTCTCAAAGCTTATTCACTCTTCCTTCACTTGAGTGCTGACTCAAACATAAGACTTGTAATTATCTAGTGATTGCCATTTTCTTTCACTTTCTTCAAAAAATGCTATTTCTGATAGAAATAAGGAGATGACCAAAAAGCCCCAAAATAACCAGTTAAAAGATCGAGAGAGATTATATTCACAGCCAGAAGAACGACATTTAAAGCAAACAAACTAGCTTAGTATACTGAGCAATATATGTACACAGAGTATACACAAAATAAATTTAGTACGTGGATAGCCATATGGTATCTAAAGCTTTGCTAGTCTTTCTTGGCAATGCCTTAAATACACGTATGTGGCTGGTTCTAAAAATGTTTTAATAGGATAAGACATTAGTTTCTCCAAGACATTGCATTTCTCCTTGGTACCCAAAAACTAAAGCCAGAATTAGGTAGTAAGAATTTTTTTTTTTTTTTTTAATCTGTGGTCAGAGGCAAAACTCAGTGATGAAATGTGTGTGTGCTAACTGTGTGAGAAGCTCTGGGTTCAATACCCAGAATCAAAACATAAATAAAATGTAAACACCTGTGATTTCTTTGAAATTCCATCCACAATAGGGAAATGTCCTCCAAACAACAAAGAYACAAAGATCTACCCACTGCATCTACATAAATCATCCCTACATCCAAATTGTAAACTTTATAAGATATTTGGAATAGATAACCTATCCTTGATTTGGCCAAGTAAATCCAGATCACTCCTGGAGCAGAGGTGAGGAGGTTGGTAGGAAAWGAGAAGCAGAGTAGTTAAAGCAGCAATATAGTCAAAGTGCTATTCGATATATTTGTTATATACATGTTATTACTTTTATACCAGTTAAAAGGTGTTTTATCACTTCATGCTATTGGATCACAAGGCTAGGACCACAAGAGCTCCCTGATACATGTGAATCAGCACCTCAGTTCTGATACAAAAACACATAAGTCAGATTAAGTTATAAAAAAAATGACCTGCCCTGGACTATGGAAATTTAAACTGAATTTCAACCTGTACTATTTATAACAGTCAAACTTTTAGGAGTCTGAAAATGGTGCTAAGTGCCAGCACAGCATTCCTGTCGACAAAGTTTATGTGGCTCAAATAAATGACATGTAATCTGAAATGCTTTGTTTTTGTTTTTTCACAAGACATGCAGAAAAAGAATATTTCTGTTGTTCTGGGCCAGCACCCAAATAAAGATCAATATGTGAAGTGTCACCTGGCATGATGGCACATGCCTGTTGTCCGAGCACTTTGAAGGGAGTCTAAGGCAGAAGGATTGCTTGAGTCCAGGAGTTCAAGACATGCCTGGGAAACATAATGAGATTCTGTCTCTTAAAAAAAAAAAAAAAAAAAGTAAAGTTGCACTACCACTTGTTTAATCATCTGGGACAAATGCTTGAAATGCTAAAAAGACCCCAAAATGGTCATGAATTCATTACTTGAAAAATATGTACAGACAGCAAATGAATCAATCAAAAGTATTTTCCAAGTATTTACCATGTGCTAACCACTATGTAATACACTGTAATTAACTGAAATATAAAACTAACATTGGACTGCTACCTCATAGTTTAAAATATCCTCTTGAGAAACAAATTTAATGGGGGGAAAACCCCTCAAACAAAAAAATAATGAATTTCTTCCCAATGTAATACTTTCCCTAATGCCTCCCAAACCAAGCTAAACCTATTTTCTAGGGCAGCATAAACTCTCATGGGGTTTTGGCTAGATTATTGCAATACACAGGTGAAAGGATACGTTCCAGCTTGAGTCTTCAGATAAAGGCGGAAATGATGTTCATCCACATAGTGTGTCTCCATAGAGTGGATGACACGAGTTCTCAAAGCCAAGGGTCTTCGGTGAAGGACCCGTAGAGGGGTTTTCTGTTCAATCTTTAGGTCCTAAAGGAAGACAACACAATCACAGTGAAGCCTGTCCTAGCAATTCCTTTGTTACCCACAGCTCACCACAGTTGTTTCTTTGGAGGATTCCATCTATCATTGTCAAGAGTAAGAGGTAATCAAAACTGGAAAAAATTATGTCCCTTTTRGGACATATGCAGCATGTGTCATATCCTAGTTCATAATTATTCATTTTCTGGGCCCAACAACCCTCACCATAAAAAAGACTTGGGGACTGGTAGAGCACTAGCCTAGCATGCRTGAGGCCCTGGGTTCGATCCCCAGCATCACAACAAAACAAAAAAAGTGGGGTTTGGAAGTAAATGATCCTCCAGATCTCTTCTGCTCTGAAATTTAACAAACTGATAGGACCCTGGAGTTTTATCCTGCCTTTTACTTCAGTAGGGCTCTTCTATAGGACAATGTTGTTACAATAGTTTTCTTTTTCTTTCTTCTTCTTCTTCTTTTTTTTTTTTTTTTGTTGTTGTTACTTTTTCTTTCCTCTCCCCTTCTCTTAATTTTATTTTTACAATTGTTTTCTAACCCAATCAAGCAAGTGAGGATTTCAGGTTGGGGTACAAAATGGTTGGTTGTAGAAGGCTGCAAATCAATGCACCTGTGTGTACGGGCAATGTGCATTCTTTAGGGAGAACCATATACAAATTTTCAGGGTTTTCTGTTTTGTTGGTTTGTTACACAAAAGGCTATAATTTGTAAGAGTTATCATTTAGTGTGACATTTCAATATAGTAATTACAAATAAATATGTACAACAGAACAAGTCCCTTAATATTTATTAGCCCACCTTGAGAAAAACAATATTTATGTCTATTTTTTTAAAAGAGAGAGAGAGAGAGAATTTTTAATATTTATTTTTTAGTTCTCGGCGGACACAACATCTTTGTTTGTATGTGGTGCTGAGGATTGAACCCCGGCTGCACGCATGCCAGACGAGCGCGCTACCGCTTGAGCCACATCCCCAGCTCCATATTTATGTCTATTAACAATTCAGACTTTTTAGAGACATAGGTTTACTTTTCTCATAATTAGTTCAAATTAGAGACTTTCCTTTATGTAAACATACAAATTAAGATGCAGATGTTAATACCATAAAAGGTCAACTAATTCCAAGTTTTAAAAATTTATTTATTTATTCTAATTTATTATACATGACACCAGAATGCATTTCAAAAGCACAATTTTTCATGTCTCTGTTTTTATCTTTTTTTCCAATATATGTTGTACACAAAGTAGAGTCATACCATTTATGTCTTCATACATATACTTAGTGTAATGGTGCCTATCTCATTTCACTATCTTTCCTACTCCCCGCCACCTCCCTTCCCCTTTCTCCCCTTTGCTCTATTTAAAGTTCCTCCATTCTTCCCATGCCTCCTCCCCACCATTCTGGATCAGCATCTATCCACATATCAGAGAAAACATTCTGCCTTTGGGTTTTTGGGATTGGCTTACTTCACTTAGCATGATATTCCCCAATTCCATCCATTTACCTGCAAATGCCATGATTTTATTCTCTTTTAATTTCATAGAAATAGAAAAAGCTGAGTAATATTTCATTGTGTACATATACCACAGTTTATCCATTCATCTATTGAAGCACATCTAGGTTGGTTCTACAATTAGCTATTGTGAACTGTGCTGCTATAAATATTGATGTGGCTGCATCACATAGTATGCTGTTTTTAAGTCCTTTGGATATAAACTGAGGAATGGGATAGCTGGTTCAAATGGTGGTTCCATTCCAAGTAATCTCCACACCGCTTTCCAGATTGGTTGCACCAATTTGCAGTCCCACCAACAATGTATGAGTGTGCCTTTTTCCCCAAAATCCTTGCCTTTGTTATTCAATAAGTGTATTGTATATCATCTTCTAAGGACTGTCTGTTTAGTTCCTTGGCCAATTTACTGATTGGGTTATTTGGGGGTTTTTTGGTGTTAAGATTTTTGAGTTCTGGGGCTGGGRTTGTGGCTCAGGGGTAGAACGCTCGCCTGGTGCATGYAAGGCCTTGGGTTCGATTCTTAGCACCACATAAAAATAAATAAATAAAAATAAAGGCATTGTGTACAACTAAAAGAAAAAAATATTTTAAAAAARATTTTTGAGTTCTTTATATATCCTAGAGATTAGTGCTCTGATGTGAGTGTGGTAAAAATTTGCTCCCATTCTGTAGGCTCTCTATTTACCTCACTGATTGTTTCTTTTGCTGAGAAGAAGCTTTTTAGTTTGAATCCATCCCATTTATTGATTCTTGATTTTACTTCTTGAGCTATAGGAGTCTTATTAAGGAAGTCTTATTAAGGAAGCTATAGAAGTCTTATTAAGGGGCCTAATCTGACATGATGGAGATTTGGGCCCACTTTTTCTTCTATTAGGAACAGAGTCTCTGATTTAATTCCTAGGTCCTTGATCCACTTTCATTTTGATGCATATGGATTTCCAGTTTTCCCAGATACATTTGTTGAAGAGGCTATCTTTTTTTTTCCAATATATGTTTTTGGTGTCTTTGTCTAATATGAGATAACTRTATTTATGTGGATTTGTCTCTAGTGTCCTCTATCCTGTACCATCAGTCTACAAGTCTATTTTGGTGCCAATACCAAGCTGATTTTGTTACTTTTGCTCTGTAGTATAGTTTAAGGTATGGTATAGCGATGCTATCTGCTTCACTCTTCTTACTAAGGATTGCTTTGGCTATTCTGGGTCTCTTATTTTTCTAGATGAATTTCATGATGCTTTTTCTATTTCTATGAGGAATGTCATTAGGATTTTGATTGGAATTGCATTAAATTTGTATAGTGTTTTTGGTAATGTGATCATTTTGACAATATTAATTCTACCAATCCAAGAACAAGGTGATCTTTCCATCTTCTAAGGTCTTCTTTAATTTCTTTCTTTAGCATTCTACAGTTTTCATTGTAGAGGTCTTTCACCTGTCTCATTAAGTTGATTCCCAAGTATTTCTTCCTTTTTTTTTTTTTTTTTGAGGCTATTATAAATGGGGGTAGTTTTCCTAGTTTCTCTTTCAGAGGATTTGTCACTGATGTACAGCAATGCCTTTGATTTATGGGTGTTGATTTTATATCCTGCTACTTTGCTAAATTCATTTATTAGTTCTAGAAGTTTTCTGGTGGATTTTTTTTTTTTGATCCTCTATGAATAGAATCATGTCATCGGCACATAGTGATAGTTTGAGTTCTTCTTTTCCTATCTGTAATCCTTTAATTTCTTTCATCTAATTGCTCTGGCTAGAGTTTCAAGAACTAGGTTAATAGAAGTGGTGAAAGATGGCATCCCTGTCTTGTTCCAGTTTTTAGAGGAAATACTTTCAATTTTTCTCCATTTAGATTGATATTGGGGCTTAGCACCAATAAAGCTTTTACAATGTTGAGGTATGTTCCTGTTATCGCTAGTTTTTCTAATGTTTTAAACATGAAGGGGTGCTGTATTTTGTTGAATGCCTTTTCTGCATCTATAGAGATGATCATATGATTCTTATCTTTAAGTCTATTGATGTGATGAATTACATTTATTGATTTCCATATGTTGATCCAACCTTGCATCCCTGGGATGAACCCCACTTGTTCATGGTGCACTATCTTTTTTGTGTTTCTGTATTCAATTTGCCAGAATTTTATTGAGAGTTTTTGCATCTATGATCATTAGCGATATTGGTCTGAAGTTTTCTTGTTTTGATATGTCTTTGTCTGGTTTTGGAATCAGGGTGATATTGGCCTCATAGAATGAGTTTGAAACAATTTGAGGAATATTGGTATTAGTTCTCCTTTGAAGGTCTATAGAACTCAGCTGTATATCCATCTATCTTGGTCCTGAGCTTAGGCTTCTGATGGAATCTTCCTATTTCATTGCTTGAAATTGATCTGTTTAACTTGTGTATATCATCCTGATTCAGTTTGGCAAATCATATGACTCTAGAAATTTTTCAATGCTTTTGATGTTTTCTATTTTATTGGAGTACAAATTTTCAAAATAATTTCTAATTATCTTCTGTATTTCTGTAGTATCCATCGTGATATTTCCTTTTTCATCATGGATGTTAGTAATTAAGTTTTCTCTCTCCTTCTCTTCGTTAGCATGGCTAACGGTTTATCAATTTTTCTTATTTTTTCAAAGAATCAACTTTTTGTTTTGTCAATTTTTTCAATTATTTTTGTTTCAATTTCATTGATTTCAGCTCTGATTTTAATTATTTCCTGTCTTCTGCTGCTTTTGGTATTGATTTGTTCTTCTTTTTCTAGGGCTTTGAGATGTAATGTTAAGTCATTAATTTGTTGACTTTTTTTTCTTCTAAGGAATGAACTCTAGGCAATGAACTTTCCTCTTAGAACTGCTTACATAGTGTCCCAGATATTTCGATACGTTGTATCTGTGTTCTCATTCACCTCTAAAAATTCTTTAATCTCCTTCTTMACGTCTTCTGCAACCCATTGTTCATTCAGTAGCATATTTAGTGTCCAGGTTTTGGAGTGGATTTTATTTCTTATTTTATCGTTGATTTCTAATTTCATTCCATTATGATCTGACAGAATGCAGGGTAGTATCTCTACTTTTCTATATTTGCTAAGAGTTGCTTTGTGGCATAGCATATGGTATATTTTAGAGAATGATCCATGTGCTGCTGAGAAGTGTATTCACTCGTTGGATGAAATATTCTATATATGTCTGTTAAGTCTAAGTTATTGATAGTTATTGAGTTCTATAATTACTTTGTTCAGCTTTTGTTTGGAAGATCTATCCAGTGGTGAAAGAGGTGTATTAAAGTCACCCAGAATTATTGTGTTATGATATATTTGACTCTTAAACTTGAGAAGAGTTTGTTTGATGAACACAGATGCTCCATTATTTGGAGCATATATATTTATAATTGTTAAGTCTTGTTGATGTATGGTTCCTTAAGCAGTATGAAATGTCCTTATCCCTTTTGATTAACTTTGGCTTGAAGTCTATTGTAAGTGATATGA